GGATGGAGCGGGCGAGACACAGCAGCTGTTTGTGTCCGTTGCTCAACACGTTGCCTCCATCCTCCAGCTGAAAGTCCAGCTTGTCTGGAAACTGCTCGATGACCGACTTCAAACCCACCTGAGGACACACAGGACAGATTTGACTTTAGAATTCACTCCACTGACCATCCTGGATTTGTGTTTTCATCTCAGAGGTTAGGTTCACTCACAAAGCAACATTTCTGAAAGAGAATGTGGTATTAAAGGAGCAGTGTGTAGGATNNGTGAAGTTACAGATTGCAACCATCTGAATACAGCTCAGCCTTCCAAGCGTGAAAGAGAAACTAGGGTGGCTGCAAAAAATGCGAAAGGCCCTAGTGTTTGGCGTGTCCAATCAACATGGTGGATAGAAACAGCTCATTCTAAGGTTACGAAAACACACTCAGTATGATTGTAGTCCTAAATGTTACACACTGGACCTTTAACATCTCCTTTATTTTTTTCTACTAACATGAGAAGAAAATCCAATGCAAATTGTATCTGGAAACTATTTGATTGATTAAACTGTCTGTTAGAACAGACTTTCCTCTGCATGTACGATTCAATCACATCACAGCAGAAGACAAGAGAAAAGAGAGCCTCACCTCCTCAGCTACCCTCCACAGCTCCTCATCACTGTAACGTCCGTGTGGGTCTAGGTTCATCCGGAAAGTGCCGGTCAGAATAAAGACTCTCTGTTCAAACACAAACCAGAGAAAACCTTTTAATCACATAGTCAAGGAGGCTGGATTATTCTCATAATAAGAGTCATTTGGATCAGTTACAATGGTTAGAGTTACAGTTACAAATAGCTCTCATTTGCCAGTGTAACATGTTACAAGTCTTTGCTATTTAAGGAGGTGTGAGGAAGTGAATACCACAGGAAATATATATTGTTGCAGTAGGCACTATATTTACTACTACTCTCCTAACCTAACTACTCTCTAGGTTTCCAAATGTGAACAGTACGAATGGAGTGTATTAGAAGTCATTTATGTTGGGCAGAAGTTACATAAATCAATTTAAAACGAGGAAGACTTTCTCACCTTGCTGGCTGCACTTCCATATTGTCATTCTACTGATATCAGCTTTTTCTCATGCACCTTCACCCAAGTCATTTTTTCTCAACAGTATTTGAATATGAACCAGCAGCCGTGTATAGCCATATGTCTTTTTGAAAGGCAGCTCAGCAGCCATAGACGTACCTGTGGAACCACTCCAAAGGCCTTCCTCCACGTGTGCAGGGACACAGAGCTCCAGGAGACTCCATCAATGGAGATTTCTCCATCAGTGGAGGCAAGACGCAGCAGAGCGGAGAGCAGGGTGCTCTTCCCTGAACCTGTTCGACCCAGCAGACCAATCTGCACACACACACACACACAGAACAGAAACATTTTAATCCGCTTTTAATGCACTTCTAGCTTTTCAGCTAAAAAAAACTTCAGTTCATATTGATGCAAGTAAAGTGTACTCATCATGACACTGTAAAATGAACTACAGCCTTGAGCTGGTAAGTCTAAAAGCTCTCCAACCTTTCTTATGCAGCCTCGCAGCAACAATTAGTCCATTTATCAGGAGGCCATAGAGAAGCTAATGGGACGCGGCGAAAGTGCTGACACTTACTGAGCTCTGCTGTCCTCCAGGATTCATTATGCGGAGCTCATACTGACTATTATTACTGCCAGGAGCAGAGAGAGAGAGAACGGTCACATATTACATGTTTTGTCTCTTTCCACTGAAAGCTATTTGGCCACTACTGCCTGAGTTCCTCTGCCCTAACTAAATAGCATTTGAAATCCAGATACAAGGGAAATATTACAGATATGAATGTGAGTTGAAATAATAATAAAAAAATGGAAAGTGTTTTCGGTAAGCAAGAACTTGTTTGTCACTAATGTTTCCATTTTCCAGTATTTCAAACTTTCTGTATTGTGTTGCCTGGTTGCCTTTTTGTTTGTTCTTTAGCCCCAGAGGGAAATAACATTTTGTCTATCTGAATTTTGATAAGAATAATATTCACAACTCCTTTCTCCACCAGATAGTCACTATCTTTGTCTGGTGTTTTGCTGCTTGTAAGCCATCAATCGTTCCTTTACTGAAAACAGCTAACGGCTGCATCTAGAAATGACACAGATGAGTGTGGTGAGACTAAAAAAAAAAACAGTATAAACAGCCAGAAAATCAAAACAATGAGCTAAAAGTAGCTGACAAGTAACCACAAATGTTACACAGCCTTCCTGCTGGCTATAAAACACCTTGTTATAACCTTTCTGACCCTACCCTACCCTTTAAATTGCCCCTCTTGGACTAATTAGTGTTTTGATGTTTTAAAATCAAATAAAGGAGAGCTAACATACATTATTCTGCCAAGTACAATTAAAATCCAGTCACACACACACACACACACACACCCTTTAACCATCCCTCAGTACTTACGCTCTGACCACCATCCACAGAGAAGGAGATGTCATTGAGGACAGCACGTCCAGCCTCTGTGTATTTGACAGTGAGGCCCTGGACGTCCATCTGACCACGGTTGGGCCAATAGTCTTGGGCATGAGGGTTGTCGATGACGAGGTCGGGGCCTCCTTTACCACCGGATTTCCCTGGCATCGGCTCCTCTGTTGGCAGGTCGATGAACTTAAACACTCGATCCACCGAACGCATCTGAGAGGAGGAGAAGGGAGAAGAGAGAGAGAGAGAAAT